GAAGACCGTTTGGAAAGCAGAACTCACTCTACCTGAGTGGATGTAGGGCTGGGGCCCATAACACCTCTCCTTTATTCAGTTCCCAAAATGCTCCCTAGCACCTTGTCAGGAATGCTAATCCCCAGCTCGTTTTGTAACTGAAAGATATTAAAAAACCCCGAAGTGGACTTTGAGAGGCCACATAGTGGAAAGGGCCAGGGCTAGTTCCGAGGGCCCGATCCTGGGACAGTGAGTGATCTCTCTCACCAGCGTCCTAGCTCCAGCCCCTTAGTGCTCCTGTGGTTTAGCCCAGCATTTCCTACCTAGCACCAGACTGGGGGGTGGGGGGCAAGGGGCCAAGATGGTGTGTGTGTGTGTGTGAGAGAGAGAGAGAGAGAGAGAGAGAGAGAGAGAGAGAGAGAGGGGGAGAGATCCCAAAGAGGCTGTTCTGCTCTTAAATGAGGTCATGCATGTGCAGCCTGCCTGGCATATAGTAAGGACTCAACAACTATTAATATGGGGCCAGGCAAACTGGTGAGGGGTAGGATATAGGGCTGAAGGCAATGCCATCTGTCCTCTTCTGACCACAGAGCCCAGCCCAGAAACCATCTCAGCTCCCTTATGGGCAAGAGCCAGGGGAGGTTGTCCCTACAGGGCCACCGTCCCCTCCGCCCTTCCAGCTGCCTGGGGGCATCATGGACTGGGTGAGGGCGAGGTTCAGCTCCTAGGTGGGGTGAAGGGATGACCTGGGCAGGTTGGGCAGGGCCTGGGTGAGGGGGTGGGTGGTTTCAGGGGTGGGGCTGAGAGCCTCTCTTCGCAGGCAGCCCGGGTGCCCTGAGGGAGACTTTCGGAATCTGCCGAGGCCTGCCCTGGGAGGAGATGTGGTCTCAGCTTGACTAGGACTGAGCTCTCCCCTGAAAAACAAAACAAAACAACAGTGGGTGCACCTGTTGTCTCTGCCCAGGTGGTCAGACAACAGGCAGATATTCATAGAGAGAGCCACTCCCAGAGTTCTCCCCCTCCCTCCCCCCATCTCCACTGAAATGGGCGTCCAGTGTGGAGTCTCCGAATGGATATGATGATTTTGGAGAAGAGTCATTGTATGCATTCTCCTGCCTCCAGGAATGACTGCCCTTAACTTGATCTAAGAGGCTCTAGCCCAGCAGTTCTCAACCTGTGGGTCGCGACCCCTTTGGGGGTCGAACAACCCTTTCACAGGGGTCGCCTAAGACCATCAGAAAACACATATATAATTACAGATTGTTTTTGTGATTAATCACTATGCTTTCATTATGTTCAATTTGTAACAATGAAATTGGGGGTCACCACAACACGAGGAACTGTATTAAAGGGTCGCGGCATTAGGAAGGTTGAGAACCACTGCTCCAGTGCTCCTTGACCAGAGGGGGAACCTTCCCAAGGTTCCATAGACCCTGCTCCCAGGAGGAGGTGGAGAGGGGTGGTCCTGGGGTGTGGTGGGGCTGAGGGGACTGGAGGATGAACGGTGAGAGGCAGGGTGGAGGGAATGAGGGCGGTAAGTGTGCTAGTGCTGGGCCAGCAGGGGGCTCTGTGGCACATGGGACCTGCCTGCATGTTTGTCTCGGAGGGTGTGCCTAAGAGAGCATGTGGGAACGGGAACCTCCTGTGTGTGCGCCCTCGTGTGTGTATGATACGGGTGTTTTGTAGGCTTAGAATAGACGTGTGCGCGGTGCGGGGTCGGCCCTCAGGAGGCAGGAACCTCACACTTAGCCCTCGCTTTTGCTAGGAAAATTCTTTCCAAGGTTCTTGACACCATGGGATAATGGCATCCCCAGAGACTTGTGCCTCCATCAGGTCAGCCCTTGATAGATGGCAGGTCCTCATCAATGCCAAGGGTGGACCGTATCAAAGTTCAGACTCCCTGGCAGCCCCAGAGCTCCCCCTGTGCAGGGGGTACTAGGGCCCCCAAAGATGACAATCAGGGGTCTGAGAAGGCACGAAGGAAAGGTCCTCAGGCAGGAGGTTCCCAACTGTCCCGGACAATCTCCGGGTCGGCTTGCTTCTGGGCCCCAATGGGAGATTGTTCACTTGTTCCATCTCCTTTCAACAGGAGCTTTTTTTTCCATTTGAATTCTGATCTTGCCATTTTTTTTATTGTGGTAAAATATACATAACATAAAATATACCTTTTTTTATTGTTGTTGTTAATCCTCACCCGAGGATATATAGATATAGATATAGATATAGATATAGATATAGATATAGATATAGATATAGATATAGATATAGATATATAGATATAGATATATAGATATATAGGTATATAGGTATATATAGATATAGATATTTTCCCCCCATTGATTTATTGATTTTTAGAGAGAATGGAAGGGAGAGAGGGGAGAGGAGAGAGGGAGAGAGAGAGAGAGAAATATCACTGTGTGAGAGAGAGACACATCGATTGGTTGCCTCCCACAAGCACCCCTGGCCAGGGACTGGTAATTTAATCTTGACCAGGTATGTGCTCTTGACCAGGAATTGAACCTGAGACCCTTTGATGTGCTGGCAGATGCTCTAACCATTTAGCACACTGGCCAGGGCTAAAATGTACCACTTTTAAGTGGTATTAAGTACATTCACATTGTAGTGCAACCATCGTCACCACCATCCATCTCTAGACACTTTCCATCTCCCCAAACTGAAACTCTATACTCATTAAACAGTAACTTATATTTCCTGTTCCCCCAGCCCTTGGCAGCCGCCATTCTATTTTCTGTCTCTATGAATCCAGGTATCTCATATAAGTAGAATTATACAATATTTGTCCTTTTGTGTCTGGTGCATTTCACTTAGCATAATGTCCTCAAGGTTCATCCATGTTGTCACATATGTCAGAATTTCCTTCCTTTTTAAGACTGAATAAAATTCCATTGTATGTATATACCACATTTTTTAAATTTTAATTTAAGTTTCTCCCATCACCATTTATTCCTCATGCCCTCTTCCACCTCCACTCACTCCCTCCCGCCCCCGTGCAATCACGGCACAGTTGTTCGTGCCAATGAATTCTTTCTCTTTTTTTTCTTTTTTGCTCAATCCCTCCACCCACCCCCAGCCCACCCCGCCACTGCCTGACAGCTGTCAGCCTGCGCTCTGTCTACGAGTCTGTATTTTACATGTTAGCTCACTTTGTTCATGAGATTCCACATATGAGTGAAATCATTTGGTGCTTGTCTTTCTCTGACTGGCTCATTTCACTTAGCATAATGTTCTCCAGGTCCATCCTTGCTGTTGCAAAGGGTAAAATTTCCCTCTTTTTTACAGCTGGTTAGTATTCCGTTGTGTAAATGTACCATAGCTGTTTTAGCCACTCAGCGGCTGATGGATGCTGGGGCAGCCCACATTTTGTTTATCCATTCATCTATTGATTGACATTTGGGTTGTTTCCACCCTTTGGCTTCTGAGTAATGCTGCCTTGAACATGAGTGTGCACATATCTGTTTGAGTCCCAGCTTTCTTATCTTTTGGGTACAGAGGCAAAAGTGGAATTGCTATGTTTAATTTTTTGAGGAACCACCGTACTGTTTTCCATAGCAACAGCAACCATTTGGCTCCCACCAGTAATGCACAAGGGTTCCAATTTCTCCACATTCTCACCATGAACAAATAACTATCGAGAGCCTACTATGTACAAAGCACTCTAGTAATACAAACCTATATCTGAAAGTTCAGTAGCTCCTGTCCTTACGAAGCTCTCAGTCTCATGGGGAGACTCAGGTCATGCCCTTGAGCAGTCTCCAATCTGAGGAGAAAGACACAGGGTGGTGACCTCTGGGACACCCTAGATCAGTGGTTCTCAACCTTCCTAATGCTGCGACCCTTTAATACAGTTCCTCATGTTGTGGTGACCCCAACTATAAAGTTATTTTCGTTGCTACTTTATAACTGTAATTTTGCTACTGTTATGAATCGTAATGTAAATATCTGATATGCAGGATGTATTTTCATTGTTACAAATGGAACATAATTAAAGCATAGCGGTTAATCACAAAAACAATATGTAATTATATATGTGTTTTCCGATGGTCTTAGGCGACCCCTGTGAAAGGGTCGTTTGAGCCCCAAAGGGGTCGCGACCCACAGGTTGAGAACCGCTGCCCTAGATGGATATGGGGCAAAACAAACAAACAAAAAACCCCAATGATGCTGTAGGGAGCTCCCAATCTGAGGGAGGAGGCAGAGGCCCTTCTTTGGGGGGAGTCCCAGACAGACCCAGAGACCAGAATGGACACATGGAGGGCATGCATCGAGACAGCCAGGGGCTGCTGAGTGGAGAAAATCAGGGGGTTGGACAGGGCTTGTGGTGGGCCCTGGCCCACACTGGCCTGCAGTTGCCTAGGCAATGGCCCTGCTGTTTACTTTGTGGCTGGCTCTAGACTCACCCTTTTCCGCAAGTGCTCATTTCCCACCGTGAGGAAAGATGCTCATCTGCAGTCCTCCCTCCCGGAGGAGGAAGTTGGCTCTCTTGCTGGGAAAGGCCCTGCCAGCCTGGCACTTCTGCCAGGTTCCTTGCCTGCTAAGAGCAGGTCCGTCCTGGGGTCTCACGTCGCCCACCTCTTTCCCACTCCCAAAGGACCTCCAAGACCAGGCTCTGGGCTTGCCCAAGTTCTGCTAGGGAAGGGGGGCTCCTAAAGATTCCTCTCAGCTTGGGGAGAAGTGGGGCATGTAGGAGCCCGTGGGGGGCTGGCAGGGGGAGGTGGCAGTGATGCCCACGTGAGTGGTTCACCTGGCTCTGTGCAGATCTCCCTAAGGGTCTGCATGTGTCACCGTGTCTTTGTGTACATGTGGCTGAGTTGTCTGTCTGTCTCAATGTGAGTGTGGCTGGGTGTGTGAGAGTGTAAATATCCAAAAGACAATCAAAACAGCTTGCATTGACCTTGAGGGCATTATGCTAAGTGAAATAAGTCAGACAGGGAAAGACAGGTACTGTATGATCTCACGTAGATGTGGAATCCTAATAAAAAACACCCCAAACCAAAAACCCCACCAAGCTCATAGAGGATGGATTGGTGGTTGCCAGAGCCTGGGAAGGGGAGTTGGGGGGCTAAGGGGGTGAAGGGGGGATATTGAGGGAGTTGGCCAAATGGGTGAAGGAAGTCAAAAGGTACAAATGTCCAGTTCTAAAATAAGTCATGGGGATGTACTGTTCAGCATGGCAACTATAGTTACTAATACAGTATTGCATATTTGAAATTGTTAAGAGAATAGATCTTAAAAGTTCTTATCATAACAACAAAACATTCTGTAACTATAGATGATGACAGACGTTAACCAGACTCATTGTGGTGATCATTTCACAATGCATACAAATTTTGAATTATTATGTTGTACATCTGAAACTAATATAATGGTGAATGTTAATTGTATCGCCATAAAAGATTTTTTTTAAAAAAAAGGAAAACAACAAAAATCTTGCATTTATTGAATCCCTACTATGTGCCCAGGGCCTGTGTGTGCTAAGGACTTTCTTTAATTTACTTAATTCTCCCAGCATTTAATTTACTTAATTCGTATTTTATTGGTGAGAAACAGAAGCTCAAAGAGATTAAGTAACTCTGGGGAGGTCGGTCTCACAGCCAGAAAGAGGTAGAGACGGGACTCAGACCTGTCTGCATCCAGGACTCCAGAGCCCATGTGCTCAGGCCTGGGCCACGCTGACACTGAAGAACTAGGTGGTTCTGATCCTTGGTCCCTCCTTGAGATGAAATTGCAATTGCTTCCTCCCCCCCCCACCCCCCCAAGCCTTCCTCGGCTCTGGCCCAGTTTGAGCGTGGGAGAGGAGTGTCCCAACTCCCCCAACTCAGGGCAAGCTTGGTCCTGGAGGGGGAAAGCATGAGTCTGGAGAGACTCTTTGAACTACACCCTGTCCATGGGACCATACCAAGTGCTCCCAGTGACTAGGGGTTATCTGCACATTGAGAGTGCTGGGGAGATGCAGGCTTGCTGGGCCGGCTCATCCGCTTGGCCTGCTGGGGCATGTCAGGATTGTACACAACTGGTGCTGGGAACCAGGCATCTGAATGGGGCAAAAGGGTGGAGGAGGACCGAGGGGGCAGCTGCCCTTGAGCGAGGGACTGGGTCAGGGGTTGGAGGCCCAGGCGTGGGCGGGCAAGATGCCGTGGGTATCACATTGCCTGCATGCCTGGGATGGCCGGAACCTGGCGGCTTCGCTCTGTCTGGGTGTGAGGCTGTGGGGTGGTTACAGACCTGCTTTTGGTGGTATGTGATAGGCGTACGTATGGGAAGCTTCTGAAGTGCCAGATCATTCTCTTGGGGTGAGGGGTACTGTTTATCTCCTGATTTGGGGCCTACATTCTGGGAGGGAAACCAGAAGGAAAAGCAGGCGAAGTGACCCCCAGTCCCTCTCTTTCACTTCCTGAACCACTAGCCCTCCCAAGGTATCGGTTTTCCTCCTCATATCCCCTGACCCGTGGGCCCCAGGACCCTCTCCTCTTCCTGCTCCTCCAGCCTAGGCCACCCTCTGGTTCAAGGGCTGACCTGGGAGGCCCCTGATCCCACCCTCAAACAAACTGTCCCCTCTCAGGGCCCCTGATGAGGACCCCGGACCCTGTTGATGTGAGAGTCTCCCTTGTTCTGGATGAAGGCAGCTGGCTCTGGCCTGAATCCGGACCTGGGGGACCCCTAAGGGTTTCACGGGCCGGGGTGCTAGCAGAAGTCTAAGGGTCCAGAAGACAAGGTCTGCACTGCTCTTATTCTCCAGGGCGCCCCAGGCTCTGGCACCACACCTGGCCCACAGCAGGCACTCAAGACATGGTTGTTAAAGAATAAACAAGAGGGACGTGGAAGCAGATCTGACTTAGGCTGTAGAACTTGGGGATCTGGTCCCAGCTTAGTAAAAGCGAAGCTTTGAACCAGTCACTTTTCCCCTTTGCACCTCAGTTTCTACATCTGAAAAATGGGTATTAAAATATTCCTGGACATCCAATTCTTAGGATAAGGGTCAAATAAGATAAAGCAGAAGTGCTTTGAAGCAGTAAAAGATGGTCATCTCATTTGGAGAGAAGACTGGATGCCCGCCCCAGTACCTGTCCCAACGACCCTTAGGAGGATAAGGTTGAATGGATTTTGCAAGCTGGTCAAACTAGAGGATGATGGGAGGGACTGCTCCGCTGGGCTATTCCTGATGTGGGGGGAGGAAGCTGGGGAGGGTGTGGGGAAGGAGGACTCACACTCGGCAGGAAGGCTCGGAATAGAATCTCAGCTACGCCTGGTATTTCCCAGTCCTGGGCCCCCTCCCCCACCGCCCTCTGGGGCCCACCCCACATTCCTTTCCCAGAGGAAATGGGGGAGGGGGCCGAAAGGCTCCCCAGGGCTGGAGGATCATTTATCCAAACTCTGTACAACCTTGGAGGCCCTCCTGTGTACATCCCCCTCCTGAGGTCCCTGAAGGGGCAGCTGGGGTTAAGGGGGAGGAGTGCGGGTTTGTGTTGGCCCAGGCTGCTCCCTCCTTTGCGGGGCCTTGCTGTCTCTGCCCAGTTAGAGGGCAGGAAATGGACATCATCGATGTCTCATCATTTCCCAGACGTCTACAGCCGTGGACACAGAACCCTAAGTCCGGGGCTTGATCCATACACAGAGCAGCACCTGTTGGCTCTGAAAGGTTCCCTGGGGCATGAGGGGGGAGAGTCACTCCATTTCCTCAGAACCAGGTGGACTTGCAGCACAAGGAAAGGAAGTTAGGTGTCTGGAAGGACTTACGGGCTGCTTGCTGGGACACCAGGCCAGACCGAGCGAGGACATTCCCGCGGCCATGGCCCTCTGCGTGGGGCCACAGAGTCTGACGCGGCTGACGGCATCTTGGTGCTTCCGGCTGGTCTCTGAGGGCCTGGCCTTTGGGGGATGTGACAGGGAGGCTCAGGGTGGGGGTGCTGATGGACATGTCATGAGTTCTGCTCCCTTGACTGAGGTCCTTTCCCCCCCGGCCCTCAGCCCTCCTGACTCAGCGCCCGGTGGCAGCCTCGCTCTTCCCGTCTGGCTTCCGCCAGGGTGGGGGTGGGGGTCCAGCTCCTGCACAGGGGACCCAGCAAGCAGCAAACAGGAAACAGGAGAACAAAACCGCTCCCGGCCCTTCTTCCTCCCTCACTTCTCCCTCCCTCACTCCTGCTCACCCCCATGGCCCTCTATTTCTCCTCCCTCTGCCCCCGGGACCCCTCTCCTCTCTGTGCCTCTCCATGTCACTCCCCTGCCTCCCACAGGATCCACCTTCAGAGCTGTCCTTCCTCGGATGGGATGAGGAGCCAACTCTTCTGCCCGGTCCTCCCTTTGGGTGGCTGCCACAGGGGCCCAATACTAGAGTCTTCCTCCCCATACTCCTAGATGGGGAGCAGGGTTGGACTGGGGCTGCCTCCTCCCCTGCCCCCAACCTCCCTTCTCTGACTGCTGGCTAGAATTTGGGAGTAAGATCCGACATTGGAGTGAAGGGCTTGGGGTTTGGAGTCCCGGTGCTTCCGTAGCAACCTGGGTGCTCCTGGGCCTCAGTTTCCTTCTCTGGAAATGGGGTCATAGCGGGACCCCAGGCCACGGTGAGGGGCTGTGGTGAGAAGCACACTGTGTGTGAACAGTCACGTGGGATAGAAATGGAGGTAGCGATTACATACCGACCAGCCAAGGCCTCTGCCAGCCCCACCCGGGAAGGGGAGGAGGGCAGGGTCTGCCATCAACATGGGCTTCCTGTCTGACTCATGTGCTGGGGATGGGGTGGGGGCCAGCTCGGAGCCCATTGTCAGCCTGGTGGTGGCCCCTCTAGGCAGAGTGAAAGGGAAGGGGGTCCTGGGGAAGAGGGGCAGTCACACTTCCCCCCAGGGATGGTGGGGACCCCACCTGCAGCCTTAGGGTATATCCTGGTGTGGGGTGTGATGAGAGCGAGCGCTGCTCCCTGTGCCGGGCAGGGTGTGTGCCCATGTGTGCAGCGTGCGCCTGTAAGGAGTGGGTGTGCTGGGTGGTATGTGCATGGTATGTGCTTTTGTGGGGTTGTGGGTATCTCTGTGGGGCATGTGCGGGGTGGTTTTGTGGGGGGTGTCGGGTGCGCTTTTAGGCCACAGTGGGTAAGCTTGCAAATGTCTCTCTGTGGGATGTGTGGACCATATATGTATGGGAGGGCGTCCAAAGTGTGTGCACACAGAATGGAGCCCATACACAATGTGTATGTGAGGGGAATAGTGTGTTGATGTGTGTGTTTCTGTGGGGTATGTGGACAGTGGGAGAGTGAGTGAGCAGTTGTGTGTGTGTGTGTGTGTGTTTGGGAGGGTGTGGAGTCTATGGATGTGTGTGTGTAGTGCAGGTCTCTATGGGTGGGTAGGGTGTGTGTTCATGTGTGCGTGCATGTGAGGGGCATGTGTGCACCTGTGACTGTGTAGGAAGCTGGGTGCCGTGTGAGGGGCATGTGTGCACCTGTGACTGTGTAGGAAGCTGGGTGCCGTGTGAGGGGCATGTGTACACCTGTGACTGTGTAGGAAGCTGGGTGCCGTGTGAGGGGCATGTGTACACCTGTGACTGTGTAGGAAGCTGGGTGCCGTGTGAGGGGCATGTGTGCACCTGTGACTGTGTAGGAAGCTGGGTGCCGTGTGAGGGGCATGTGTGCACCTGTGACTGTGTAGGAAGCTGGGTGCCGTGTGAGGGGCATGTGTGCACCTGTGACTGTGTAGGAAGCTGGGTGCCGTGTGAGGGGCATGTGTACACCTGTGACTGTGTGTAGGAAGCTGGGTGCCGTGTGAGGGGCAAGTGTGCACCTGTGACTGTGTAGGAAGCTGGGTGCCGTGTGAGGGGCAG